GCTAAAAGCAATGCCTATAAAATGCATTTTTTTTTCATCATAAAACAGAAAGTACACGAGTTGCAATAATAGCCTCTTAACTTGGAGCTAATTAAAGCAGGTGAAATGAGGCTCAAAGGAACAGTGGTTGTTTTGGCTGAAGACCTGTGAAAACATTCTGGCTTTTAGACAGTAAAATAATCAAATAATGTTTGATTCATAATTTTGACAATGTCATGAGGAATGTGCTGTATTATACCGGAATATAAAAGACTGCAAAAATCCATTGATTTATCAATATTGTATTTACAATTTATTCTATTTTTGCCTGTAATGATAAAATTTATGTGTGCAAGTAGGAATGAATGGCTATCCAATCATCATATTTTGAGGATATGGATGTTTGTTAAAGTTTGAGCATGCCGAAAAAAAGCACTGCAAGATTATTTTTGGAAAAAAGTATATATTTTTAGCTTTAATTCCTAGTCTGTAAATGTTCTGGAGTTTAATAATATTTAAAACTGGAATTACCAGTTTTTTTAAAAAAAGAAATAATATATCTCTAACTGGTTTGGAATACTGCTCAGTTTTCTGATCAGTGCTTATAACAAATAACTGATAACTAACCAAAAGGTAGCTGCTTGCAGAGACTTTAAAAATGTATATTAAAGATGCCTACTGTCCCTCAAAACTCACTAGAAAAAAATAACTTATTTTATTCTGTACATATTCTAGAAATTGTATAGTGTAAAATCCAGTATTTTTTGTATAAATGTTCAATGATGTTTTATTTGAGAATAGTGTTCAAGGCTGGGGGGGGGGAGGGAGATAGAACAGTGTTTATATCTGTTGTTCTGCAGAGTTCAAGAGAACGTTTAAGCAGGCATGTTTTTTTCATGATTTTTCTTTTAAGCAAAGGCATCGGAGACTATGATAGGGAGAGAACGCAGCCTACCGACCCCAAAAGTCAGCCTGTAATTCCTTGTCCAAGCATGCAGCATAAAAGTAACTGGATTCCATTTCAAACCAAAACATTTTAATGAAGCAAAAAGAGCGAATGTAATTCCTCTGTTCAAACAAATCAAATCCCCAATATTTTATGTACCTCTCATGCACTGTGATTAAAAATAAAACAAGTTTCCAGGGAAAAAAAACACGAAAGAGTTAGCGTGGGCTTTTTTCTTTGGGGAAACCGATTCTGTTAAATATATAGTTCTGCTGAAATGCATTAATTTGAAGGCACCGCATTTATAGACTGTTGGACTGATAACACAAAATTTTGTTCCTTTCATAACTCTGTTAACAAGATACAGCACATTCATAGTCATTTTTTAGCCTGATAAAATTGAATTATTTTGAAGGTTCTGTGGTACTTTAGGTTGCGTTCTTAATTATTTAATAACCCATTATAAGTATACATGTAGTTTTTAGTTGTATATTTTTTTTCATATTTTATCATTCTCCTTTCTGTGTGTGTGTGTTTTGTTTTTTAGGGGGGGGCTTGTTCAAATAAAAATGTCAATTTACTCTTTTGTGTACTTTCTCAAAGAATTTGTTGGGGGGGGGTTGTCGTTTGATGGAGAATACTTGATGACATGGTGTTTAGTGCCGTATACTTTTTTAAAAAACCTTTGGATGCTTTTTAACAGTGGAGCATGCATATAAACAGACTGTTCCTGATTTGCATGCAAGAGACTTGCACATGCCTACTGCAAAACTGTGTGTGATACTGAAGGACTTGAGTGGAGAGGGAAGCATCTCCAGAAGCAATGGGGGGGCTGGTGCTTCCAGAGCATCACATCATATTTGGCTTTTAGGAATTAACTTTTTTAAAAAGCAAAATTTTAATTTGACAGCCCTAGCTTGATCATTCGTACTGACAAGATGGTTATTTTCTAATGTTTTCAGATTACATTTCATATCTCCTACATCAGTGGTTCTCAACCTGTGGGTCGGGACTCCATTTGGGGTCGAACGACCATTTCACGTGGGTCGCCAAACAACACAGTCCGCCATTTTTTTCCCCTTTTCCTTAGCTGTGCTACTCCCTTTTATTCTATTGGCTTTTGAAAGCCAATAGAATAGACTCTCTTGAATAGAGTCTAATTCTATTGGCTTTCAAAAGCCATTAGGAATTGTCCAGGCTGTCTCTGCCCTGCTGAGCCCGCCCAAAGTCCCATTCTGCAAACGGTGCTGCACCAGTTGAGTAGTCCTCGACTTACGACCGATTGAGTAGTCCTCGACTTACGACCAGTTGGGGGATCGCGGCATTAAAAAGGTTCAGAACCACTGTCCTACATCCTTTGAAAATTCTCCACTTGTGGAAAGACATGGGTCCAGGCCCCAAGACTTAAAAAGTGTATCATCGGCTGCCTAGATCAGTGATTTGACTCGTGTGAATGCCTCTTTCCTATCTGAGACTTCTGTAAACAGTGTGAAAAATAGACTTTGTCTTGGTTAATTGGCAGAGTCGTATTGGCCACCTATGAATGTTAATTTCACGGCTCCTAATTTTTATACAGTGTTTAAGAGTATTACGACAACCTTTTACCATGAAAACTTGAAAATACTCAAAACCAGATCCTGGTCTCACTTTCACTGTGTGTTCATGTGTGTGTGCAAAATTTGAGTTGCCATAATAGCATACAGGTTTTTCACAAACATTTGCATAGGTGCTACATAAAATGACCTAAACTATATACCATTTTTAAAATAAACAAATGCCACATTATATCTGGAATGGTTACTTTCTAAAACTGAAGCCAATCTCTGGTTAAAGTGCTTAATTATAATATAACTGAACAAACATGCACTCATTTTACTAAAAGGACAAGGGAAAAATAGTGATTTTTAAAGCGAATCAGTTTGGTGTAGTGGTTAAGGCGTCAGACTAGAACCTGGGAGACTGTGAGTTCTAATCCTGCTTTAGGCACAAAGCCAGCTGGCTGACTTTGGCCCAGTCACAAACTCTCCCCAAAACCTTTCCAGAAAACTATAGGGACTTGTCCTCAAGTAATTGTCACAATCAAGACTGACTTGCCACAAAAACTCTCCCTCATCTTTGTGGCAGCCCTTCAAATACTGGAATACTGCTATCATGTCATGTCTAAGTCCTTTTCTCTAGACTAGCCAAACCCAAATCTTGCAACCGTTCTTCCTATGTTTTAGTCTCCAGGCCTTCAATCATGTTACCTGCTCTTTTCTGCACTCAACATCCTTTTTTTTTTGTGTAGCGTGGTGACAAACATAAAGTTGATTCACGCTTCAGGCAGCCTCTAGATCTGTGTGTTTCTCCACCTTGGCAGCTTTAATATATGGAATTCGACTCCGAGAATTCCCCAGCCAGAATTCTGGGAGCTGAAATCTTCATACCTTAAAGTTGAGAAGCGCTGCTTTAGACAATGGCAACTGCTCCCAACGCTGGCAGCCAATTTGGGATTTTGGGCATGCCGCTTCTTCTTGCTTTGCCAAACAGGAGCGATCCGTTCGGCCAAATTTCTCTGTGCCATCTGGACAAGTCCAGGAGTCAATCTCTCCATCTATTGGCAATGCACACAAGCAACTGTTCTCTAAAGCTGACGTTATGCTATTCCGTCACTCGTAATTCAGAGATTCAGCATAATGTATGAGTGGAACAACTCTCCTTTACAACCTCTGGTTGAACTTTTTCTGCCTGAAAGGGGGTAGAGGCTACCACTTTATTTAAGGCCACGGACAACTATAGTCCTCAGTTCCCAGACAGGGCCGAGAGCGAATAGGGAAGACTCTCCTTTCAGCCAGCAATAACTGGATTATATCATGTCAATCAATGTATATCTAAGGTGTTTCTCAACCTTAGCAACTTTTAAGATAGCATGGCTGGCTGGAGAATTCTGGGAGCTGGAAGGCCAGACATCTTAAAGTTGGCAGACAGAAATGGTCAACTGAAGGCCCCACCAGAAGTAGCACCTGTTGCTTGCATAGATTTGGTCCTCCGTGGCCAAAAGACTAAATAAGGTCCAAGCTGTGTTCCATTAGGACACACGTCTCAAGTCCTCCCAGTCCTAGTGTAACCCTTTGGTTACTTTCTCAAAATCAGAAATGTTTCCTATTTCACATGTCCCCCATATCCATCAACGGAATTGTCAGAGGAGCAGGAATTAATAGGTAGCTGGACTAGAAAAATCTATGATGTAGTACATTTTTATCTATACCGCAAACCCGACCTTTAAATCTCCGTGTTTCTCAGCTTTGGCAACTTTAGGACTTCAGCTCCTAGAATCCTAAACAGCCATGCTGGGTGGGGAATCCTGAAAGTTGAATTTCACACATCTCAAAGTCACCACGGTTGAGGAATACTGCTTTACATAACACTAAGCGTCATAAATGCTCTGCAGTTTTCCATAAAAATTAATCACTCAAGCTGTACAACCCGTTTTTAAAAAAATACATTTTCCAACCCCCAGATCAAGAAGCAAAGCTTGGCGATGGGAGATTGGTTGTGTTCAAGTGAACACTTTTCCCCCTCTTAGTCTCTGATGGAACCCAAAATAATTTCCCCCGTTTGAAAGATCCTGGTTGAATGTCAACAACCAAACGGCAGCCAGTGAAACTGGAATACACACTGCCCATTTCCTATTGTGCTTAAACTATTCTAGCACAGTCCAAAAACCATCTTCACTATTGCAGAATAACTTCCTTCAGCATTTCTTCAGTTCTTATAAACTGATCCCCATTACTTCTTTATGCCCTAGTATAGATTTCACAAATAAACACTCTTAACAACTAATCTGAATGACAGAAGCCTTGCTGATTAGTAACTAATAATCTCCTCTGCTCATGCTTAAATTGAGCATTCCCAGAAACCAAAATCTGAATAGTTATCAGTTCCAAATTATAGAATGCATACACAAACCATTATTCACAGAATTTTGCACGGAAGGAATCAGTGGTATTCTATGGAGCTTTTGAGTCCTTGACTTATCTAGGTTTGGCATTCATATCAGCAAAGAGGAAAAAAGCAAAGTAGAAATAAGCCACAATTATAATCATGGTCACTTTATTAGAGATCTGTACTCAGGAAAATAATGAAATTACCATACTGATTCTGGGCAAGGGAAGTCTTAGTTGTTTCAAAACTTCAGATGAGGCATCATCTATTAAATGCATCATGATTGACCAACAAAATAATTCCTTTCATAGGTGTGCTGCTGAGATCATGTTCCCATTGAATTGACCCATCTCCACAATAATGCCTATGAACCTGGCACCCCAAACAATTATGTCATTTTACTCAGCTGGACACAGCTGGGAGACAACACAGTGCTGCAGTACAACTGAATTCTGGCAACTTGTGCTTGCTTCTTCCATCCTACTTGAGTTCTTTCAACAATGTGTTATCACAACTAAAACATTTTCCAGTAAGCTTTGCTTGCCTGCATTGGCAATTGTCACTGTGAAATATTACCGTTAACAGTTGCGTATTTTGGCTGAGGTTGACTCACAGTGCATTCCCCTCTAGAGCAGCTTCTCCTATGAAGGAATTAAGACGACTATTTCCTTCCCAAATAACAACAAAGACTGAACTTCTTCCATACCAAAATAAAATTGCACCGAGCCAGATTCCCCTGCTCCTTAATGCAATTATAACAAATGAGGTAGACGGTTCCATCCTGATTTACAGTTGCTTCCTTTCAGCTTAGCAGGCTTCCCACTCTGGCAGCCTCCCACTTCCAAACAAAATTTCTGCTCGGTACAATTTGACAGCGGAGGATTCTTCTCTGTGTCCTCCCTTAAATAATATATTTGAAGCTAAAGGTACTATCACAAGAAAGCCGTTTGCCTTTGCATCTTCCACAAAGATCTTGACGATGAGGTCTCTTGGGATCCACGTGGCGCAGTTTCACTGGGCAGGAACATCTGGTCTGCTTGCAGTTCTGAAATTGACACCACAGCAAGAGGGTAATTGAAAATAAAAGCGACTTGGATCTGTCTATGAATTCCCCAGGAACAAAATGTTGACTAGGGACAATACGACGGTTTTTCTGTTATTTATGCATACTGTGCGGTTGCAAGTGGGATGACTAAGATTGCATATTACCAGTATTATTATTATTATTAAAACTACTCCAAGGACATGGTTATTTTCTGGTGATCCAAATCAGTGTTTTACAACCTCAGCTACTTTAAGATGTATGAATGTCAACACCTAGAAAGCTGGCTGGGAATTCTGGGAGCTGACATCTACACATCTGGAAGTTGCTGAGGCCGAGAAACACTGATCTAGACAGTTATTACAAAGCTCTAAATCTTTCCCTGCTCTCAGATAGCTTAACATTTATATTTATATGTCAAGGATGTGACAATAGAAAGAGCAAACTGATATGGAAAAGAGGGTATAAACTATGTGATTGCTTCCTATATTTAAGAATTCCTGCAAAAAAGGAAGTCCAACTTGAGGTGTTCTATTTACCTCAATTTTATTACGTAGGAAAGTTATAAAGTATCCAACGATATGCTAATGGTCAAAATGGGGATATTAATATCTATATACACACTTTTCAGTAGTTTGATTCGTAATTCCAGTCCAAAAAACTTGATTAACTGGGAATATATTAATTTATCCATTCCCAATTCATTGAAAACATAGTTTCTATAAACTTAGATCACCTGAAATCAAAACCGAAAATATTTTAAGAGTACTTTTCAGCTTGGTCCCACCAAAGGAGATATTAACACAGGTTGCAGAGCAAAAAAACAAACAAACCATGCACCATCAAAGTGAAAAGAAGTATGAAAAACATTGTCTCATCATCTACAAACGCATCCAGAATCTATTTTATTTTACAGATCTCTGAACCCACCAATTATAGTAACTGTCACTCAGCTGGATTGAGTCAGCTGACTCCACCAATAAGTGCAGCGCTTGGTGGCAATCAGCCAATCTCAACTCATCTCCCAACATTAAGCAGGATGAAACCAGATCAGTACCTGGGTGAGAGATTACTAGGGACTTTGTTTCGTTTCAGGGGCTTTGTTGGAAGAAAAGGATTCCAATACCTTTGTTTTTAAATAATGAGAGGAACCATGAAGTTCATGCGGTGGAGCCCAATGGACCTTCTACCTTAAATGAGGTCCGAAAAAGCACTGCTTACTTGGCAGGTAATATCCTCCACACGGTACGGGTTGTAAGACTTCTGGCAAGTTCGACAGAACTGCCTAAAGTAAACCTGTGGGAAGAGAAGTTTTAGGTAAGAGGTCCCCAACCTTTTGGGCACCAGGGACCGGTTCCATGGAGAAGGGTTTTTCCACGGACTGGAGGGTGCGTGGTTTTGTGTGCTACCTGCATCCTGCAAATCGGGCTTTATTTGTTTGTGCGGACCGGCTGCTGGCATGCCGCGGCCCGGTACTAGTCCACGGACCGGGAGTTGGGGACCCCTGGTTTAGGTAGAAGGATCCCCCCTCTCCACCGCTCCAGCAAATAAAGTCTACCTTGGCCAATGTTAGGAAATAGGAGATTTCCTGACATTTCGCCAGCAACTGTAGCAGATCACCTTGCCTCTAAAGATCCCAGCCATCAGGAAACTTGTTGTCTACACCAGGGGTCCCCACCTTTTTGGTTCAGCAGCTTCAGCGGTGGGGAGGAATGGTTTCACACGCACAACCTAAACCCTGTGCTTGCGCAAATGAAGCTTCACACACTTGCCCGCCGCTTCAGCAGCTCAGTTCCCAATGGGTCGTAGTTCGGTAGAGGGCTTCAACCCAGGGATTGGGGCCTCTGGTCTACACCACAGTCACTAAACCCTGAAGCCAAACACTAACCCAACCGATTGTAGTCATGAAAGCCTACCTTGTTTGTGCCCTGTACACACCAGACATAGGCACTCTCCCATCGAATATTGCAGTCCTTGCAGTGGTAATAGCCATACTTCTGCTCTAGGAACTAGAAAACTCAGTGGTTAAAAAGAAATACTATTGTTAAGTATATTCATCCTAGAGCAGTGGTTCTCAACCTGTGGGTCGGGACCCCATTTGGGGTCGAACGACCATTTCATGGGGTCGCCAAACGCAGTCCGCCATTTTTTCCCCCCTTTTCCTTAGCTGTGCTACTCCCTTTTATTCTATTGGCTTTTGAAAGCCAATAGAATAGACTGTCTTGAATAGAGTCTAATTCTATTGGCTTTCAAAAGCCAATAGGAGTTGTCCAGGCTGTCTCTGCCCTGCTGAGCCTACCAAAAGTCCCATTCTGCAAACGGTGCTGCACCAGTTGAGTAGTCCTCGACTTACGACCGGTTGAGTAGTCCTCGACTTATGACTGGTTGGGGGTCGCGGCATTAAAAAGGATGAGAACCACTGTCCTAGATAGAACATCTTTCTTCAACCCAATGACCTGGTAAGTTCTCAGACCGGAACTCCTTCAAATCGCAGACAGAATTTTTGCCGTTCTTATGCAGGTTGATACTATATTCGTTTTTTATTTACTGGATTTCTAGGGCTGCCCAACTCATAAGGGCTCTATGCAGTGTACACACACACACAACACTTCAATAAACCAAACAGAGCAACGATCCTCAGTTTGGGCAATTTTAAGATGTGTGGACTTCGATTCCTAAAATTCTACAACCAGAATTGTGGGAGTTGAAGTCCAGACATCAAAGTTCCCAAGGTAAGTTAAGACATAACAAGGTGGTCACTCCGAAGTGATACCTAGTAAAGGTAATCTTCAAATTGTGGCAATAGGAATGCTTAACACAAACCATTATTTAAACTGGAAAATCTGTTGTTAAGCAGAGCAGTGGTTAAGTGAGACATCACATAACTATGACTTGCAATCTTCCTGCCGGCTTCTGCATAGATTGTGTGTGTCGGAAGCTTGCTGGGAAGCTGGCAAATGGTGATCACACGACTCTAGGAAACGGCAACCATTGTAAATGTCCAGATTGCCCTCACATGGCTGTGCAGATGCTGCAAGAGTCTTAACCCTCTATTTCAGCTAACAATCCTTTTAAGTTTGCTTCAGATTGTCAGCTTTAACTTAATGCCCTAAATATGTCATGAGCAACAGTTTACAAACCACATTGGCTGGATTCACAAACCACACACTAAGAAACAAACAAGTAAAGCATATTATGGCTTATTATATGTGCAGACCCAGTCGGGAGTCCTAGAAATAAACCAGGACGTCTGCTAAACCTGGAGTTTATAAGGTGTGAATGGTAGCAAGGAATTCACTACTCCTAGAAGGCGAGAATAATCGCTTCTATCTTTTTAACTGTCTGAAATGTTCAAAACGTCTCATTACGGGCTTGAAATAGCCAGCCCGTCTCTGAATCCTTATTCTGGTTTTCCTTTTAAAAGCATTTTGTTTTGAAGCTAAAGGCACTCTTGGGTCACCCTCTTTTCTCAGCCAGAGGGAAGAAACAGCCACTGTTTCTTTTGCTAAGTGGCTTTGGGTTTTAAGCCAAGTTCTCAAAAGAAATAACCAACTTATGGCAGCCTAAGCTTTACCCTCAGGCTGTTCTGTTCTTTACCCTCAGGCTGTTCTGTTCTGTGTTTGCAGGATTCAGGGGTGAAGCGGCTTGCAGAGTCTAGTTCAGGGGTCTCCAACCTTGGCCACTTTAAGACTTGTGGACTTCAACTCCCAGAATTCCTCAGCCAGCAAAGCTGGCTGAGGAATTCTGGGAGTTGAAGTCCACAAGTCTTAAAGTGGCCAAGGTTGACGACCCCTGGCTAGTTTATACAGCCAGAATTGGCTTCAGGCAAAAAGCGAGGAGGGCGGCCGCCACTGCCACCATCCCAGTTCCACTCCGGTTTCACGGGCGTTTGCACCGTTTTTGACCAGGCCCTACGGGGTGGGGTGGAGTGGGGGCGGACACGGGTGGAGTGGCTGGCTGACTGGGCCGCGTTGTAGCTAAGCAGCGCGGGCTGGTTACAAGGACTCTCCTCAGGCTCGGCCCTTAGCTCCTCCGTCGACGGACAGCCGGGGGGGGGGGAGCCCCACCTGGAAGCGCACGCGGGCCTTGCTCGGCTCGGCCTCCTCCCGAGCCAGTGGCGGGGTGGTAATGGGGACAGCGACGGCCTTCCCGCCTTCGCCTTTCCACTCCTTCTCGGCCTGGCCTTTCGTCGGCGAGCTTCCCGCCCCGTCGGGGACCGAGGCCGACTTCTTCTTGCGCTCCTGGGACTCGGCGCCGCTCTCCTCCTCGCCTTTGGGCCAGACGGCGCGGGCGGCGGCAACGGCGTCCCCTTCGATGCCCGGGGGCGGACCGGCGGCGAGCGTCGACGGCTCCCGGCGCTCGGCTTCCTCCAGGAAGGTGGTGAGGCGGCGGGAGGCCACCGGCGAGTAGACGGCGATGGTGCGGGGGAAGCGCACGGAGCGCGGGGCGCCGCTGACCGGGCAGCCTTGTTCCTGCTCGCCTCCTCCGCCTCCTCCTCCTCCTCCGCGGGCCCGGGAGCGAAAGAGCAGCGGGCGCGGCCCGAGCGAGCACTGCACCGAGGCGTCCTGGCGCGGGTTGACCTGGACGCCCACCTCCTTGGTGTTGGCCTTGCGCAACCGCGGCGTCAGGTTGGGGTTGACCTGGGACAGGATGGCCTTCAGCTGCGCCCGCTGGTAGTTGTCGAAGTACTCGGCCGCCGCCGCCGCCGCCACCGCTTCGCTGTAGCTGGATAGGTAGCTGCTCCGCGGCCGCCAGGCGCCCTGCCCGCCTTTGCCCTTCGGCGGCTGGTAGCGGTAGGAGTAGGGGTTGTACGAGGGGTAAGCGTAGCTCTCCATGGCCTCGTCTAGCAAAGTAGCCATCGCTCGCGCGCGCGCTCCGCCGAGGGCGTTTAAATCTCCCGCGGGGCGGGCCGGGCCCGGCCGGGCCGGCTGCGCTCGGCCCCGCCGCTTCCCAAACGAGACACTCGGCTCAGCTGGGCGCGGCTGGGCGGGGGTGAGGGTGGGGGAAGCTGGAGAGTCTTCCGGCGCGCGGGGAAGGAAGCCGCAATCCTGGTTAATCTGTTCATTTATACGTGAGGGTGTAGATCCGTACCTAGGTTGTGTATCGCATGTTTGAAATGTGTGTGAACGTATGTGTGCCCTTTTGAGAGGGAGCCACTCAATTTCATTTTTAATTCGCGTGGGCCGTTGTGCCCGCAGGGGAAAATGACAATAAAGATGATCTAATCCAGGGGTAGGCAACCTTGGCTCTTTTAATGACTCGTGGACTTCAACTCCCAGAATGCCTGAGCCAGCATGGGGGAACTTTGGCCCCCTCATGACTGGTGGACTTCAACTCCCAGAATTCCTGAGCCAGCAATGGCTCAGCTTGGAAACCTCCTCCTTTCCCCTCAGCATGGCTGGCTCAGGAATTCTGGGAGTTGAAGTCCACCAGTCATAAAAGAGCCAAAGTTGCCTACCCCTGATCTAATCTAATCTATTCCAGGTATATGGGCTTGGACCCATCCCATTGTGTGCCCCTCTACGTCGGGGTTGGCTGTTTCAAAAAACAAACAAACAAGTAATAACTTAGTTGATCTCCTAGAGGAGATCAACCCTGACTGCTCTTTAGAAGGCCAGATCCTGAAGTTGAAACTCAAGTACTTTGGCCACCTAATGAGAAGGAAGGACTCACTGGAGAAGAGCCTAATGCTGGGAAAGATGCTGCAAGAGAAGAAGGGGATGACAGAGAATGAGGTGGCTGGATGGAGTCACTGAAGCAGTAGGCGTGAGCTTCAGTGGACTCCAGAAGATGGTAGAGGACAGGAAGGCCAGGAGGAACATTGTCCATGGGGGCGCAATGGGTCGGACACGGCTTCGCAACTAACAACAACAAAATGTGTGTTACGTATGAGTACACTTTTGAGAGGGAGCCACTAAATTTCATTTTTAATGTGGGCCGTTGTGCCCGCAGGGAAAAAATGATAATAAAGGTTATCTAATCTAATCTATTCTACGTACATGGGCTTGGACCCATCCCATTCTATGCCCCTCTACGTCAGGGTCAGCTGTTTTTTTTTTTTTAAAAGCAGTAACTTAGTTTAAACAGGGCTTCCTCCCAAAAGGGTAAAGTGAGATTGCCACAGTTACTGAGATTTTCGCTTCGGGAAACACAGTTAAACCCCGCTTTGGAGCAAATAAGGCGGAGGATCCTGTTGTCAATCTATTTTGGGATACCCTCAGTTAATAGTAGAAAAGGCGGTTAATGATGAGTCTCAAGTAATAATCTTGCATTTCCCATTAAGCCTTTCATTTGTAGGTATGGATTAAAATGAAAAAATGAAAAGACTGCAAATCTCTGAGGCATTTATGAAAAAGGAAGAAATTGCATCAAGTTAATTTTATGAAGTCCATATTGATCAAGTGTGGCTACAAAACTGAAGTAGATAGCTTTGAATCAATGGCATTTAAGAAAAGAAACTAGGTATACTAAGTATATGCAAGGATACTAACTATCATAGGTGTTAACAGGATTCATTCAATCAATGACTTTTTGGGCTGTAGTTTTTGCGGGGATCCCTTATATTTTATTGACATTTTGCTTCAGATTTAACAGCATGCTTTATCAATATGTTCTCTTCCCCCCCCCACCGCCTTCCTACTCCATTTTCCAAGACCCCACATTGTCCCATTGTTTTCTGTTCCTTTGTCTTTTCTGGTGTGCTGATGTGGTGATGGCATCTTTTTTTTGAGAATGGGTTGAAGAGATTTATACGGTTGTGCAGCTTGTGAAAACAACTATTTCCGAGTACAATGAGAAAAGCCAGCATAACAACAAATGCTTAGGGAGTTCCCTGTTGTTTCTTCTACTTGGCTGACCAGTTTATTTCAACAAGGGTTTTAAGATCTTCTCTTAGAGGACCGTCTGTGTCGGTTCCATAACCACTGGACCATGATCCTCAGCCATTACTGTGCCATAGGAAATTTCTGGGATTGCTTCTTCCTTCAGTTTCTTGTAAGAAATATCTGTGTCTTCTTCATTATCTCTGCCTAGAGGCTCTTGCTTATAGAAATCCTTTCCATATATCTTGTAAGCCAATACAAACAGCCCGGCTTCGGCAGATTGAAAGAGGGCATAGAGTAAAGGAAACATATACATGCTCCCAATGAACTGTGGGGGGAAGCTCAGCTTGAGAATAGCAGTACAGAGTTGGACGTTCTGGCAGCCAGTTTCCAAGGATACTGTCCGCTTGCAGCGCGGGGGCAAGCGAAATAAGGTTGCTATCCCGTAGCCACAACCGTAACCTGCCAAGGGCATCAGCACCGCTACCACATACACAGTGGCGGGAATAGTAGCCAGAAGTTCGGGACCCAGCATGGTACCGGTGAGAATGAAAAGCACCACCAGACTCACCAGGAGAGACCACAGAGAGATCTAGGAAAGAATAGAAGGCGATGAAAATCAAATCACATGATTGCATTGGGGGCATTTATTGGCGGCCATAAAAAAAAGGTGGTAAAATTGGGCACAGTCACTTGGTGACATGCTTAACAATGTATGACCAACAAACCCTGGCACAATTAAGATTACAAATCAAGGACTAATCTTCTGTATACAGCTGTTCCAGTTTTGGTCACCACGATGTAAAAAAAGATGTTGAGACTCTAGAACAGTGGTTCTCGACCTTTTTAATGCCGTGACCCCCAACCAGTCGTAAGTCAAGGACTACTCAACCGGTCGTAAGTCGAGGACTACTCAACTGGTGCAGCACTGTTTGCAGAATGGGACTTTTGGCGGGCTCAGCAGGGCAGAGACAACCTGGACAATTCCTATTGGCTTTTGAAAGCCAATAGAATTAGACTCTATTCAAGAGAGTCTATTCTATTGGCTTTCAAAAGCCAATAGAATAAAAGGGAGTAGCACAGCTAAGGAAAAGGGGGGGAAAAATGGCGGACTGCGTTGTTTGGTGACCCCCGTGAAATGGTCGTTCGACCCCAAATGGGGTCCCGACCCACAGGTTGAGAACCACTGCTCTAGAAAGAGTCCAGAGAAGGGCAACAAAGATGATTAGGGGACTGGAGGCTAAAACATATAAGGAACGGCTGCTGGAATTGGTTATGTCTAGTTTAATGAACGAGGGGGGACATGATAGCAGAGTTCCAATATCTCAGGGGCTGCCCCAAAGAAGAGGGAATTAAGCTATTTTCCAAAGCGCCCGAAGGCAGGACAAGAAGCAATGGGTGGAAACTAATCAAGGAGAGAAGCAACCTAGAACTAAGGAGAAACTTCCTGACAGTTAGAACAATTAACCAATGCAACAACCTGCCTCCAGAAGCAGTGAATGCTCCAACACTGGAAGTTTGTCTGAAATGGTACAGGGTTTCCTGCCTGAGCAGTGGGTTGGACTAGATGACCTCCAAGATCCCTTCCAATTTTTTTTTATTATATCCGTTAGCATCAGACAAGAGTACTTAAAATGCATTGGCAATGTTCAGAAAAGAGAAGGGAAGACATAATAAAACCATCCAAATAATTGATAATCGCAGCCAAGAGAAATGATCTTAAGAGGTACACTGTGTTCGGTTCCAGCTAACATTTTAGTACCTCTGGATGGGAGGGGTATCTGTGGGGGAGGGAGGGATGTAAAAGAGGATGAGATGGGGTGATGTCCCATGCCACCTGGAGTTTTTGTAGCCCAGGTTTCACAGCCCAAGTTTGGGCAGCGTTGGGAAGTGTCAGCAGTTAAGAAACTTCCACCAGAACCGTGCTCTAAGTTCCTCTCGTACTCATTGCCTCCCTTTGTTTCACTACCACATCTTTTAATAACACTTTACAAATTTTCAATGAAGAGAGAGCAGGGGGGGAGAAAAAGAAGAGGCATTAATCTCCAGTTTTATTCTGAAAATGAAATACTAAACTCTAGTATTTTATTTGGTGAAGATGGATGCGTAATTTTATTAATCGTATTGATGAAACCTTGAAAAGCGTTCTTGCCTAGATGGGGGTCTTCAAACTTGGCCCTTTTATGACTTGTGGTCTTCAACTCCCAGAATTCCTCAGCCAGCATGCCTGGCTGAGGAATTCTGGGAGTTGAAGTCCACAAGTCATAAAACGGCCAAATTTGAAGACCCCTGTCTTAAGACATGGCAGCCTCATATTTCCTCACTGCAATGTCAAGTGATTATAACCAGGATGTTAAACTAGGATTTTGCTAAACTGCCAGGTTTTTTTTCTCTGTTCTCTAATATCAATAATTTCTACCCACCCCAGATCTGTCCTGCCTATTCATAAATTTTCTTATTTTGCACGTCCAAGTGACATAAAAGAGCAAGCTAAAAAAAAAAATCCTTGGGTCAAATTTAATAGGCAAAAATTCAACAGATAAGGTTTTATTTTTCTCTGCTTCTCTTATAGCAGGAGTCCTCAAACTTGGCCCTTTTATGACTTGTGGACTTCAACTCCCAGAATTCCTCAGTTAGGCACGCTGGCTGAGGAATTTTGGGAGTTGAAGTCCACAAGTCATAACAGGGCCATGTTTGAAGATTCCTGTCTTATAGAAACTTGGTAATTTGTATTTCTGGGTTACCCTGTAAAACCATTTGGTAGTGACAAATACTCTTTGAATATATTCAACTAAAATTCTGTTTCTCAAGCTTAGCAACGTTCAGATGTGTCAATTTCAAGTCTTATGAAGTCCTCAGAATTTTTGTTGGGGAATTCTGGGCCAAGAAGTCCACACATCAATTTTCTGAGTTTGAGAAATGTTTAACTAAAGCAAAGATACCATGATCTGAGAGTGAAACTAGCTCAACAGGTAGCACCGGAAATAGATAAAATAACTTTATATCAGTGTTTCTCAACCTTGACCATTTTAAGGCATGTGGACTTCAACTCCCAGAATTCCACAGCCAGCAATGCTGGCTGTGGAATTCTGGGAGTTGAAGTCCACATGCCTTAAAATGGTCAAGGTTGAGAAACACTGCTTTATATTATAGTGTATAACGTATGTCCTACAGCTATATGGCAAAAACAGTCCCTAAACTTGCTGTTGAAACTGTAGCTCTAACCGTGTGTCTTTATTATTGTTGTGAATGTATAGTTCTGCTATTCTGAGGGAAATTTTATTTATCGAGTTTTGCCTCCCAGATATAAGGAAGTAAATCCCGCCACTACTGTTTCTATCCTGTAATAGCTAAAAAGTTATATTTTGGATGGCAAAGACATCCTCTTCAAAGTCCCTTCAATTATTTCATAAGAAATGGTATTAGTAGGTTTTTGATTCTGGAAGTAGTAGGCCACTGTCAAGAATTAGTAAGCTTTGATAACTGTATATATGGAGTCCCCTTTTAATTTAGAGACAATCACCTCATTTGAGGGTAGGAATTTCCTAACTTCTTAGTATAACGTAGTTGATGTTTCCTATTTCTCTTTCCTAAATTTGTTAATTTCATTAAATTACTCCAGATTCTAATATGAGTTAGAAAATACTTCATGTTCTTCCTTGTCCTCATTTCTAGGTTTAAAAGACACTCCTTGGGGTAAAGAAGATGTTTTAGCCTTGTCGTAATTTATTTGCCCCTTTCTTCCCTTTTAAAATGTCACAGGTACACAGTTGCGCTAGAAAAATCTAAAAAGTCATATTAGAATGTCAGATTTACAGTCCCTTTTCGAATGATTCCTAACATGGAATTTGCTTGTCATGCACTGTGTTTCGCATATTCACTAAGTTATTCATTTTTCCAACTCGGCCTCCATTGATTGTGGATGTGTAGGTGCATATGAGAGACAGTGTGGTGGAGTGATGAAGATGCTGGACTAAGACTAGGGGCATCCAGGTCTTCTGGTAGTCAGAGAAATCAAGCGTTCATGCCCCTTTTTAATTTTGCTACCTGAATAATTTGGGGCCGTTGGTTAACTCATTCATACCTGCCTCAAATACATTGAGGACACGTCTTCATAGTGGAGCATCCATCTGAGTATAGGGCAGGGGTAGGCAACCTTGGCTCTTTTATGACTCGTGGACTTCAACTCCCAGAATTCCTGAGCCAGCATGGCTCAGCTTGGAAACCTCTCCCTTTCCCCTCAGCGTGGCTGGCTCAGGAATTCTGGGAGTTGAAGTCCATGAGTCATAAAAGAGCCAAGATTGCCTACCCCTGGTATAGGGGTTCTGCTGAAGAAGAAAACTGAAGCTGGGTCAAAAAGTTCTGGTAGGAAACTCGTGTTTTCCACAGGATAAAGGAATATGTCTCCTCTTTGTGAGCAGTTTGCATTGTAGGGCTCCAATTGGCCCAATTAAAGATCAATTTGTTCCACCCATCGTCTTTTGTTGTTCTTTGGCTGCTGGAGAACTTTGCTGGCCAGCAAATCCTTTTATTTTCAGTCGTGGTTCAATATTCAATATTCATACCGAGGGCTTTCATTCAGGAGCAATCAGGTAATCTCTGCTCCCATTCACTAAGCAGGAAATTGGATTTGGACCTGGTTTTCTGAACCGAGAAAGGTGATCTATAATTAAAGGGAGGCAGAAATATCTCCTTTGCCGTGGGCAGATCTATCTGATCTGATCAGGTTGCAATGGTTGGCATCAGCTGCTTCCCATGGGTGTATGGGTCAGTTCTGAGGAACGCTGGCAACACTTTCTGAATTTGATGGGTTTTCCGAAAAGACTCATGGACTTCAACTCTCAGAATTCCTGAGCCAGCATGGCTCAGCTTGGAAACCTCTCCCTTTTTCCTCAGCATAGCTGAGTCAGGAATTCTGGGAGTTGAAGTCCATGAGTCATAAAAGAGCCGAGGTTGCCTACCCCTGACTCAAGGCCATCATGATAATGTCCAACTTCCCAGGTCCTCTATCAGTTGGCCCCTCAGTCTGCCCACTGAGCCCTAGGATTTTCTTGGTTTTTCCACAGGATTGTGGGGCATGGAGCATCCTGGCAAATGTGTAGAGTGACAACAGCATAAACTTAGAAGCAAACACAGACAGGTTTAGCTTTGAGCTCTCTGGGGAGCCTACGTTGTGATAGGGATAGACTTCCCTGGGCTTGATGAAGATCAGCTCAGGGAACTGTTCCGTGAAGTGCAAGGCCTGACACCACTCAATGGGTTGTGAAACATCCCCTTATATCCCTGATGGAGAATTATAGAAGCTTCATGGTTTTTTTTTCCCTCACAGATGCTTGAGCGGTGGACTCACTTCAATCCATGGATAGGATACTTGAATGAGTAATGCCTCCCCCAGAAGGGGAAGTACTGCATATCTTGAAAGAGGGGTGTGTGTGTCTCCTCAAGAAATCACCAGATTCCTCTTTTTTCTCTCCCAAATTTAGATCAGCATCTTACTGGCCATTTCTGGCCAACGTTGTTTAGAGAAGTTGATCATTAAGTGAAATTGAACAAATCCAAGTGCTCCTGAAAGAAATTGATTTTAATTTGGTT